GGGTGAACTGCCATGACCATGTGTATTGACATTCGTGTTCCCCAGAGGATGAATCCTAATTCATTTGTGGTGATCCCCTGGCTTTACCTCTAGCTCCACTCGCAGGTCAAAGTTTTACTTATCGTATGAAATATCTCAATATCTCCTTGATAGATTGGCACAAAATTTGGTTCAGATATTCATGGTTACCAGATGATGATTCCTAGTGACTCTGGTCATTTAGTCTTGTATGGACAGAGCCTGGTTGCCAGAGTGGAGGCTGACCTGTGCAGGTTTGAGGACTATTGTGTTTCCAGCTGCCAGGCAGGCTGCCGTCTTCCAGGCCAGCATCATCAGAGGGTAGTTCCAGGGAATCACAATAGCACACACTCTGAGAAGAAAGAAAGGGAAGGGGGGGTGAAACAAGTGTTTGTTTATAACTGTAATTGAAATATATTTGTAATATAGAAAATAAACATTGGGATGACTTGATCCAAGGCAGTAACTTTAATTGCTGAAAAATAAGATGAAGTACTGTATACTGTATATTGATCTTAATTGAGCCGCATGGAGAAATGCAATCCTGTGCTATAATCACCCAAAATTTTACCTGCTCAACATACGTATGTGAGTCTTATCATACAGACATGTAAGTCCTTAAAAAATCCACACATCTATCTCTCACCCTATTGGTTCCTTCTTGGTGAAGGTGAGGTTACGGTTGGGCCTGGCCTGGTTGATGGGGATTGTGCTGCCCTGTGAAAAGAGGGAAAAGATTTATTTCCATGTAATTATCTATTATTCTATTGATGATAATCCAAATACTAATATAACGGAGTGGTACTGTTCATGAAAGTTCTATTTCATTTTATGAGTGACACTGGCCTTCAGGCTTTAAAAGCGGCTGTCTTACTTGGATCTTGTCACACCAGCCAGCGAAGTAGCGGAAGGTCTGGATGGACATGCCTACGTGAGTCTTTAGCGCCAGAGTGTAAACTGCTCCAGAGTCGATGGCTTCGATGGTGGCCAGCTCCTCCTGGTGATCCTCCATCAGGTCAGCCAGCCTGTGGGTGGGGAAGACACGGGGTCACTGACATCATGGATCGTGCTTGAATGTGGCAGTTTAGGATTTTAATTTGTTTTTCTCTGCCCAGTAGCACAGAATCACGACTTTACAAAGCTGATTACATTGGGCTAGTAGTGAATATATGCGCAAAGAAAATAGTGTGAAAGAAAAACCTGACTTGCTCTGATAATAGTACCAGATCAGAGTCGAAAGAGGTGGAAACAATGATGACCTTGAAGTATTTATTTATAGAATTTGTGGGAAAAGGTCATGTGTCCAGAATACCATAAGTCTATGTTATGGCATGTGATACAGGATGTGATGTCAAATTGCCAGTGCTTTTACATTGGAAACAACAATATAGGTATTTTGATGAGTGTCATACGCCGCCAGTGTGTGTTGCCTTAAGCTTAACGCTGCACGTTAAGTAAGAACAAGTGCACTGACTTGTAGATGAGTCTGCCTCTGTCTCTGGGGTTCATCTTGCCCCACTCTCCCTCTTCAAAGGCCTCCTTAGCAGCAGCCACTGCCCTGTCCACATCACTTATCTGGGCAAGAGACACATCACAGATGGCCTGCAGGACAGACAGATACAGAGAAATAAAACCACAAAGCCAGCAGAGAGAGCAGCGGTACTCCAACCAGAGGCAAGAGAATTCATCTGTCCGATCAGTTAGGTAGGGTTACAACAATACAGAAGATATGGATTTTTCTTTTTTTAATTTGGATTCTGGTGATGGAGACTTTTTCAATTAAAATCTTGACAAAGTCAGTCTGTGAAACCTGCAATATGGCAAAGTTATTTCCACCTAATATTGTGACTGACATTCTAATGAGTGCTGATACCTTACAATATTGCACCTTTTAATACCGCAACCTGGCAACCTATTAACAACTGCAACTGCTCCCTTGAGGGATGGGTTAAAACGCAGAGAATGAATTTCACTTCATGATTGTGTATGTGACAATAATGTACCTTTACCTTTTAACAATGGCATTCTACTGGCCAGACACAAATTTTTATTTATTTTAGATCTGTTGGCTTTGGAAATATTAATATGGGGCTTAAAGACAGAGTTTACACGGAAAATTTGTTCCAGATGGAACCCATACAATAAAAGTAATTTAGTAAGTTCATTTTCTCTTCATTCTTTGTCTTTTTGTGGTTACCGTGCCATCAGTGGGGTTGATGGTCTTATATGTCTTTCCTCCTTCTGCATCAACAAACTCTCCATTAATGAACAGCTGGTGGGGCATCTTTATGGTCATGTTGTTGATGTTCTTCTCCACCTGAGGAATTAAACAGTGTCCAAAACAACAGTCAACGTGTTGTCCGTCCTGAGCCAATCAGTGACAAATACCAGTCAGTAACAGCAGTTTAAACACAGCCAAACACACTTACATAGTCAACGACCAGTTCCTCTTCATCGTCTTCCCCTCGGAGCTTCCTGACACACATCTGGATGAAATCCTGGAAAGTGGTGTTCATGTAGATGTCCTCGTTCTGCAGCTGGCAGCTACTGGCACGAAGCTTCACCTCCTCCACAAGCCTGAAGACAGTGACAGAAGGTGGGACAGGAAGTGATCAGAAGTGCAGTAAGTGTTTACTGATAATAACAAGACTAAGGTTGTATAGCCATGCTAGCAGGTCTGTGAGGGTGCTTTGAGCTAAATGCTAACATCAGCATGCTAACATGATTACAACGACAACGCTAACATGCTGATGTGTAGAAAATATAATGTTTACCAACCTTATCTTAGTTTAGAGTGTTGGCATGCTAACATTAATTATCAGTAAATACAAAATACAAATGAGCCATCGAATGTGATACATTTTGTAGCTATTTGGTCAAACTGGCTAGATGAAAGGTCAGGCAATCAAAGTTTTTACAATTCATCCTTTAGGGACCAAATTTCATGCTAAACCTTGCAATAGTTGTTGAAAAATTTCAATTATTCCCAAAAATGTCAACCTTTTAGTGGTGGTGGAAGAAAAGTCAGGGGATCACCAAGGTCACTAATGCACATCCTCTGGCCAAATTGTTTAAAAATGTTGTGCCATCCATGGTGTACATCTTGAGATATTTGACTGAATAAGTAAAATGTCTGATCTGCTGGTGGTGCTACAGGAAAAGTCATGGAATCACCAAATCTGTAGCAAATATCATCACGATAATGATAATCCATCCAATAGTTTTCAAGATATTTCACTCTGCACCACTGATGTTAACATGCTGGTGAAACTAGCAAGGGGGTTCATTATCTGGGGACCATGAACATCTGTACAAAATTTCATGGCAATTCATCCAGTAGTTGCTGAGATATTTTAGTCTGAACAAAAGCGGTGGACCGACTGACAGACAGACATCACCGTGGCTGAAGCTAGCTGCTAGCATGGCTAAAAATGGATATGGCAAATAGATTATGCTGCAGAGGTTTGAAACTTGGCGGTATTAGAACACAATGTGACTGACAAGAACTCAACCTGATAACAGATGCAGAAGGAAACTGCTGTAAAAAAAACACATTTCACCTTTCAAGGCTGCAAGCTACAGTACAGCAACCTATAATTAATAATAGTAATTACTGTTCTGTGCAGAGATATACTGTATTTCAATTAACTTATGTATGCAGTGTGTATGGATAGATTCACTTCAAAACTTTTGATTTGATTTTGGTCAGTAATCACTCTAAAGTCTTGGTCATAGCTTCTGATGAGAGAGTCCCAAAAATGCCCATAGTGTGCCAGATACATTAGAAACCAGCACTGTTTGTCTCCTTAGACAATTCTATTTAAGGTGATACATTTATCTTTTGCTCTTTTTTCATTACCTGACCACATCCATGGAAGCAGCACCCGACTTGAAGAAATCAGTGGAGTCTTCGATCTCACTGGCATTAGTCAGAATGCTCTGCCACACCGCCTGTGAGGAAACAGTGTCAAAAGTCAGCATGGGACATTTTTTGGTGGACAAATACAAATTTCGTGGGCAACTTCTCGGTTAGATTTTCTTCAACTTTCCTAGAATTAGTAGGAGGCCCTACCTTCATCTGTTTAGCGAAGGCTTCCTCCTCCTCTGTGAGCTCCACAGCAGCACTGCTCCCTGAGTGAAAGTACTGTGCTGCAGCAATCATCTTCCCATCCTCAAATTGAAGATTCTTCACCAACAGCTGCATAGAAAGAGAGCATGAAATGATCATAAAGACTGAATAATCTTACATAAGCTAACATTCGGTAGTGGTATAGTCTCTGGCTGTGTATAAAGCATGTCTACAGCAGGAGAGATGTATCAAATGGAGTCTACATAAGGAAACATCTGTCACAACTCTAACTGTAATCTTTCATTGTGCTGACATTTATTTAGGGTAATTTTTAATACATTTTAAGGACCTGCAGGAATTGCATACAGACTCTTCTGTCCTGAACTGATATGATAAAATCATTTACTCAAAATGTAGGTAGTAAGTTATGAATGTCTGTGCAGTCTTACAAGTTTAAAATTAAGTATACAGAAAGGCTGTCTTGCAACAAAAAGTGATGATAGGTGAAATTCAATGTGATGATTGGTCATAAAATGTTTGTGACGTGACAATGGAAACTTCTGTCCAGGCTTCTGTAACAGACAAATTGCACAGTCCAGTACAGTAGGTGGCAGTATGACATATTGTACCCTTGGCAAAGGCTGGTGCTCTACACAGTGTTGCACACAGCTTGCAAACAGAGCCAAAACTCGTGTTGCACGATGGCTAACGCTACGCTTCAGTCATTCAACGTGTTTCTGACGGAAAGATTAACCGCAGCTGCGGTAGACATCTATGGATTCGTTGAGAAGACAATAATAGACTACCAGGAGGAGGTGTACCGAACACAACTGGAGAACCAGAGGTTGCAGCGGCTGCTGGATTTGGTCTACAAACCAGAGATAAGACTGCACAGGACAGGTAACGTTTTGTTTGTCAGTGTACACAGCACCTCGCCGTCGGTCAGTTAGCAAACATTATAATTAGACATTAAATAACTAGCATCACATAATCCCGTATGAAGCTAGTTATGGGCTTTGTATTTGCTACATTCAGCTACGTATGCAATCCATCATAGCTAGCTACTGTTTCAAAGCTAATGACAGGAGAATTCCACTCCCTCTCAATTTTCAAAATAAAAATGTATTTATACCTTAAACGTTTTATATAGTACAATGCCACGTGTTATAAGGGATATTGTTATTGTGGTCATAGTAAGACACTGCAGCAACATAACACAAATGACTTTTTTTGTTATTTTCAAAACGTTTGAACACTTATTGTTTAAAGGACACATTTTAAGCTTGTAAATTGAAGGTAACATCAGCTAACTTCCGGTACGTTATTTTTTTTGTGTGTGAGGGAAAACGCCAAACCTCTTCACAAAAATACGGTAACGTTAATTAAAAGTCACTCTTAGGATGTATGTACTAATTTTACAACATGTACGTAATTTATAATATATATTTGTAGGATACACTGGTTAATTCGGCACTTCTCTCCCCCCACTACAGTTTGGTGGAAGAGGGAACATGTATTAGGGTGGATGTTCTCACTACTGAAACACGACCACTAAGTTACCTTTTGTACATAAAAAAATCTTAATTTTAGCTATACTCAATTGTATGCAATGTCAGCTATTGATTATGTACATTTTCAAATGGTAAACATGAAAAACACTTCCACTAACATGGTCATCTTAAACCTGAATAACATTGAGTCGCAACACAAATCTTGCACCCGCCACAAACTGCAGCGCAAGTGTCACTTTAAGTGTCACTTCCAACTGACGCAGTTGTCATTTTCATTCCCAGCACCCACTTTGTTTAAATATGCACTTGCGACCATCTGTGCGCCCAGGGGAGTGTTGGGCTTACAATGAGGTGTGGTCAGACAAATTGTTGGCGCATTGCTCTCTTGAGGCAGCAGAAAGTGATTGTGCCTTTGACCAAAAACCAAAACGGTGTAAGGGGCGTATTACTCTGATAGTTGGATGATCTTAAGAGAGACTCTTTGCGCATATCTGCACGAGGAACAGCAGCATAACTTCATTCATATTATATAATTAGGCCTATAAATCCCCCACACGCTAATGTTAATTCATGTTCTGTGTTCTTCTACACATCCACAAGGTCTGACACATGGTCCAGGCTCATTCAGTGGAACTGTTTGGGTAAAGCACCCGTCCTCCTGATCAATCCTGAGGTCAAAATTATTTCAGAAGCTAAAAGTTGAATTGTGTTTTCTGTGCCCTGGCATTTCAAGTTTATAACAACAGTTTATAGTTTAAAATGACTGACAGCACTCTCTCTAATCATGAAAGTAAATCATTAAAGAAAACAGTCATACATCAATAAAACACACAATAAAGAACCCACTGGAAGAGAAAGGTGTGACTCATGACCGGTTCATAGTTTCTAATAATTCAGCGCAGTGAGGCTCCAGGCGTTTCATAGAGGAGATGGTGTCTGTCAGTCTGTTCAGACTCCAGTCTGAAGTGGAGCTGAGACACGTCACTGATAAACCACAGAGCTGCAGAGTAACATCAGGCTTCATGATCAGAGAGGATTTTTATCACGTCCACACTTCTGATCCTCTCTCTGCTGTGAGTTTGCAATTCAATCAATCAATTGAAGTTTTTCATAATGCGCCATTTATTCACCATTATAATGGCAATGCACCAAGGTAAACTAGCAAAATAGGAGTTGGACACACTGGGCCCTAAAACTCTGATCTTGTAAGCAAGGTGAAAAAACTACTTTAAAAGGGAGATGATGGTCCAGTGTTTTAAACAACCAACTGTAACAATAAGATAAATGTTCCTGCGGAGACAACTGGTTTGTCTGTTATCAAATTCATTGTTAGTCACATTCCTGAGTGAATAAAACACTGCCTCATACACCATTAATGTTAACATAAAGTCCCAGGTCGCTTGCATGTGGAGGAGCTGCTTAAATACACTGAACCAAACGCAACACTTTTTTGTTTTGGCCAGTTGTTGGCATGTTTTGAGGGAGCGTACAATTGGCATGCTCACTGCAGAAATGTCCACCAGAGCTGTTGTGCGAGCTGTTGTATGTTCATTTCTCCACCATAGCATCTTGATATGCCACACCTGTGACGTGGATGGATTATCTCGGCAAAGGACAAGTTGTAAAATAGTGTGAGCATTTTGTTAATGATAAGCAAACACTATGATGTGATGTCACATACTGTAACTGCATATTGGATTTCTTTTGCAATTTCCTGTCTGTAATTTTAACCTGTGACCTTGTGTCTTTCTGGTGTCATTGATGGATTGGTTGAACTTTTGTTTAATGATTGTTAATATCTCTTGCCAGATACACCCCAAATACAAAACACATCAAAAGGTTAAAAACACAATAAAGCCCAACGGCTTATTTCCATTGTGGTCCTTTTTGGGGAGGAAAGGGGTAGGAGCCTCTTAAAAAGGCAGCAAGTATGTAGCTAGCAGCTTCTAAGTATGCATACTTTCATTTAATAATAAATAAAGTTCAATGACAGTACAATATACAATGATATTAATCCATACACATTATAGTACAGCTAGACTGTATGGGGAGTTTGGCCTATTAACTCCCATCGTTTTCTATGAGGAGTGGCTTGGGAGAAGCACGTTGGAATTGTGGGAGAAAGTAAACTCAGTCAACTTGATGGGGTGAAACAAAGCTGTACAGTATATAATCAAACAATAAAGCTTAAATTAGCCGAGCTACAGGTGTGCCAAATGACATGAATAGGCAAAATGAAGTGTTGGAGTGTATGGAGTCAGGCCACCACAAGCCTCCAGAATAGCTTCAATGCTCCAGATTTCAAGTCTGTGAATCAATACTGGAGGGGTGAACATCATTCTTCCACAAGATATTCCTTCATTTATTTAATTAATCAGGTAATCTCATTGTTTAAAATCTGTTTTGCAAGAGAGAGTACAGCAGATAGAAAAACAAACAAAAGTATCAGAGACATTCACAGATGTCACTAAATCGATTTACAAATGAAAGTTTATCTTATATCTATATATTTGGTGTCATGCTATCATTATTTTTTCTTACTGACAATATGCCAGTATTCAGTGTTTCCTCTATATGCATTCAGCAGCGGGACCGCCACTGCTAAAATTTCCCACGATCATTAAACTATGCGCTACAAATGTTTTCACTCGCACATTGTGTGAGCACGGCAGCCCTCAATGCTCTGCTCGCTTCCTCTCCTCGTCTATGCAGAACATGCGTGACAGACGGTGTTACGAGAGCAGCGTAACTCTGAATCAGGAGGTGCGTAGCGAGTGTTTGATTGTTCGAGCGGCAGAAAGCGACGGTGAACGCGAGCAGAGGACAATATTCTGGCAGTAAATGTGCTGTGTCTGTTACAGTGTGTCAGCTTCTCAAGACCAAGAAAAGTCTGTTGTTTCCCACCTGCTGGAAAAGTGAAGCCGGTTAGCGCTAAGTTAGCTAACATCTCCCCTCCCCTTCAGACTGCGCAGCTGAGCAGCTTCTACAGCGGCTACATAGCTGCTATGTAACTTAACATTAGTTCAATTTATAGAAAGTAACTGGAAGCTGTATTTTATTACTGCCTACTTGTCCAATGTTGAGATCATCAGGTACAAACTGGACTAAACTGACAGAGCCTGCAGCTCTGTCCTGTACAGACTGATTCAATTATTTTTCAGTTTTCAGTCTGAAAAAGTGGTTTTGGAAAAGAAAGGACAGAGGTGAGTGGAGGAGCTGAGGTTAGTAAAGCTAATTAGTTATGCAAACTAGTCCTTTTAAGCTAATGAGGAGACGTTTCTTTTTGGAGGTTTCTCATGTTGCCTATTTTTTATATTAATGTCAGAAGCTGTAAAATGAAGACACAAAAGGCAAACATGAATAGTCGTATCTATAATGATTCTGAGGTCATATTAACAGGGTTTTCCTGCCGTTAAGGCTTAGAGGTGATGCCCAAAACATGCTGTGCCATCACTGTAAAATTACTGTGGAGCAACAGAACCAACCAAATTACTTTTTCCAGATCTAAAGGTTGTAGTTCCTCCAGTAGACTGATCTTTGGGTGTTGTTTATTTATTATCTGCTCTAGCTTTTTCAACTATTTGTTCAGAGATATGGTGAAAATAATGGCCCAATATGATGTGAAATTACATATTTTTCTTTGGAAAACACACAATTTTCGCTGTTTGTCCTGCCCCCGCTGCTGAAAAAATTCCTAGAGGAAACACTGAGTATTACAGTAAGAATTATGCCCAATTTGCCACCGTGGAAGGTTTACATTTTTCAAATAAAATTAAAAACAATGATAAACGTTGTCTGCATTTACACCCTAATGCAAGTTGTCTAACTAAAATATAATAGAAGTAAATTCATCTGTTTATTTTAATTATGGATAGTTACAAATGCGCTATGTTTTTAAAAGTAGGAAGCAATCACACAGGGAGAAAAAATTTAAATCATGTATCAAAGTTTTTGATTTCTCAACATTCAGATGTAATTTAAATTGTTTTCATTGCAACGTAGCCCTCGGAATCCAATTGTGATTCCCACACAATCCGTGTATGGTTCGTTCTTTCATTATTTCGTTTCACCAAATCGGAAAAAAACCCCAAAGAACCAGGTCGGTTTTGTTTTAAAACCAAAATGGAAAAATGATTTTGATATTTAATGAGTCCGATTTGTGTAGATTTAATGTAATTAAGATGAGCTTGATCATCAACATAAGTGGGTTTTTACTTTGAACAGGACAATATTATGAAGCTGCAGTACCGGAGGCTGCAGCTATTTAATATTGGCTCAACGTTCACTTTGTAACTCACTAGCAACTAGAACAGGAACGCTTTCCAGAGAATCGTCTGGTTTTTAAGATTTCTCAAATTAATTCACTGATAGTTGTCAGTAGGTTATATATCCAATGGTAGGCCTACAAAGCAACCATGAACTGGTATTAGTTAATTCGGTGAGCTGTATATTAACAAATCATAAACGGATTAAAAGGTTCCATAGGCTAATTTTCATCCAGCCTCTCTTTGCTACACTGTTTCGATCCAACCTTTATTTTCTTTGTGAGATGGAAGAATTTAGTAAATTGGGTGGCGCTGCAAGCGTAAATCAGGAGCTCAGACTTCATCCTGCCAGAGGGAATGACCACTGACCGTCCAGGGCGGCGGTTCCACTGGCAACACAACCCATAGTAGGATGAACGGAGGGGGAGCAGGTGCTGCAGCATACAGGGTGAGGGAGAGGAGGTCGCACCTTAGCCGTGGCCTCGAGGAAAAAAACCTTGATAAACATATTTGGTTATTTTCTTAGATCGCTCCGGTAACCAGCTGCTTCAGATCCACCCAAAACAAAATGCTTGCTTGATGCTGACGTAGAATTTGTTGAGTGTTTGAGGCTCTGTAATATAGTGCTCACTTCTACAGTCATATTCGCCACAGTTGATATGAGATGCGATGCGACCTGAAAAGAAATAGCCTTATATAAAATTAAATATAAAAATATTTAACCTAATGTTGACTTTTTGTTTCACAGGATACACGAACACAAGTCTCCTGATTCAAAGGTCCTGGCCCTCCTTTCACCCCAACCATGTTCTAACTCAGTCTTTTCTGGTAAATATCATATACCTACCTTTACCGTCACAAATTGAGTGACAGGGCTTCCCCCACTGCGTTGACCTATGACTATATAGAGATCCCCAGTGCGTTACGCTAATAGGCCTTGACCATGTCATATTTGACGAGTCGGGGGAAGAGAACAGGTTGTAGGCATACAACACCGGTCAAAGGTAGAACAAAACGCAGCTCCTTTGTTTTCAGTTATGGGTTTAAAACAGAAAAACAAAACAGATGTCTTTTTTTTCTCCGCTTTTCCATTTTGGTTTTTAAAACAAAAACCAAAAGAGCGACTTGTTTTTTTCGATTTGGTTTTGAAACGAAATAATGAAAGAATGAACCATACACGGATTCCACACCTAAAGGTAATGGATGTGGTGTTTGTTGTTGGTCCACAGTATTTTAACCCTCATACAACCAACACTGTCTTTCAAATCGTTAACATCATCTATCCCATCCATCCCATTTGACATGAACGCTGGGTTGTACATTTTTCCACACTGTAATCGTGCCACACCTTGAAGGCACCATAAAGCCTTAAAACCAATAGAGAGCCAATAATGTGACAACAGTCTTGAATACAGAGTTTCAATACCTTCTGAGTGTGGATGTTCAGTGTTGGTATTGCGTTTAGAATTACTTCACCCAATCGTAATTAGGAGCCATTTGCTGAGGTACCTTGCTATGTGATTACTCCAGTGTAGAAATGGATATAGAAAGTTTCCACCAGCTCGCACAACCTACAGCCTCCCTATATTATTCTGCACATATTTCTGTTCCATTCATCAGTTTGTAGGCTAGGTTTGTCATAATGTATATGTGCAGTAATCGTGTGAGCATTTCATAGAAATCTGTTGTATCTAGGGCTGTCCCCAAATAAGGATTTACATAGTCGAATCAGAATCGTCAAGTCCTGCCTATAGTTGACTCAGTCGAATCATGTGAGTTTTTGTGCACGGTGATTGTGGCCTTTTTCTTTCTTTCTACATGTTTATTTACAGCATTAAATGTTGAAATGTGTATTGTAATAGTGTGTATATTAACTTATTGGGAGACGTTGAGCACCCCCATATCGCATAAATGGCATGATCCTTGTTTCACTGCAAAGCTCGACTGTGAGATTGACAGTCGAATCAGGCTCCGCCCATCGAAGCATCGAATCTTCGACCATTTGGGGTCAGCCCTAGTTGTATCTATTGTTTTTTATGTTTGGTGTGCTGCATTTGTATTAAAGTCTGTTGTCATACCATAATTTGCATTTGATTTCTCTGCTGCTGGTAGGACGAGCGTCACCGCTTGGGATCATTCAAGTTTCCCAACATCTAGTTCATGTGTGATCAGAGAAGTGATTTTTCTAGCTGCTACAAAAAACATTTTCCTATCCACTGTTACAGATTCAAGGCAGATCGATTTGCCCACACCGACACAGGAGGTTTGTGCTCAGGAGCAGCAGATACAGAAGGAATGTATTCCCAGTGAGGCCAACGAGGAACCAGTCATCCCGCCCTTTAAAGAGGAACCGACCGAACCCTGGACCAGCTCTGTGGAGACACCTGTATGTCCAGCATACAGCAGCATTACTGACACACTAACTCAGATTGTCACAGTTGGAGAACACGAAGAAAATGAGATGCCAGACAACCTGACACAAGTTGTGACAGTTGGAGAGCACTGCAAATACGAAGCGCCAGAGAGCCTAACTCAAGTCATAACAGTCGGAGAGGACATCGAATACAAGATACCGTCACAAGATGACCAACCACAACCATCCTTTGGAGTATCGCCACTATATACAAAGAAGAAAAACATGTTTTTTTGTAATTTCTGCTATCGGCCTTTTCTGAAAAAAGTCGAGTTAAAGTTGCACCTTGCAACTCATGCATCTAAAAGTGTGCCAAAGGCCACCAACGTAGCGTTCACCTGCTTTGTCTGTGGTAGAATAACAGACACCAGGAGTCAAATGATCAGCCACATGAGAGCGCACACCGGCGAGAAACCATTTGCCTGTCCCATTTGTGGCAACAGATACAAACTGAAAGGTCATATTAAAGAACATATGAGGACTCACACTGGGGAAAGGCCGTACACCTGCTACATCTGTGGGAAAAGCTTCAACAGATCTTCCACCATGAGTAAACACGCCAGGATCAAGCACAGGGAGAACATGCCGTTCAAGTGCATGCAGTGCGGCCAGCGCTTTCCCCTGCTCGTTGTGTTCAAACAGCACATGAAGATGGTCCACGATGTCACCTTCTCCGTATGAGATACCGCTACTGTGGAAATGTTGATGCTGACTACTGGTTAAAGCTCAGAAGTTACTGAGTCTGGTTTCTGATGTTGATGGCTTGTTTGTAGGTTTCTATTTTATAATTGTATGTTTATTCAATTTGCTGCTGACATGCTTCCCCAAATAAGCACTTATGATCTACTGCACTAATCAACTCACCCTAACCCATGCTGTCATTACAATCGGTATTAAATCTAACCTGCTTAGTAGAAATATACACAAACAGTCAACGTACCAAGCAAATACCTAACCAACAAAAAAGCGATACACGCATATAATCATTAAGGGCACTTTAATTACTACAAAAGTACAGCTTTGTTATTGATAGTTTTACTTCCTTACTTTAATTCATATGTCACTTATGCAATATGTTGCCTTTAATGTCCTGTTTTTGAAAAGTGCAATGCCAATAAAGTTACAATTCAAGATTAACAAACCCAAATCCCAAACCCAACTGTTGAGTGGTAGTGTCGCATTGTGGGAAATGTAGGCACTGGGTTTTGACAAGTAAGAGGAATGTGTGGAGGAAAATGAGGAAAAAGTTCTGCTGCATTAATTTTTAGCCCTTTTCTGTAATGTCAATCATGACTCTGATAATGTTGTAGGAGTCAAATGCTGAATTGGTGCAGTACTGTGACCATGACATTTTACAGCTAGAAATTCTGAAAAAAGTCTGATGGACAATGCTATGGCATAACATCTTTCTGTACTGCAATTCTTGTTACTTACCAACCAATTTGTCAATACCAATATGTGTGATAAGCTAAATTTTGCTAATAATAATATGCTAATGTATCATCGTGCTCGAATTGGGATTGTATTGGGATTTTATAGTTTGAATTGCACTAACCTGAGTTGAAAGATACTATACAAATAAAGTTTGACTGATTGAACATGCTTTGATTTAAAATACTTTGACTAGCATATGCTAACTTATTCTTACACAAGAAAATGGTTCCTAGTTTGAGGCTCTTCTGAATTGCATAGACCAATTTTCCACTCTTGACTGATTTGTCCCTTCATGAAGCTGATGTGGCTCTGAGGCGGCTGTTCAAAACTTTCTCAAAAAAGGTAAAATTCCTGACTGGTATGGATTGAGCACTATTTTTGCGCCGACGACTTTGATGTGTACTACAGTTGTAATGTATTTCCATTTCCATCCTTGCAGATGCCAAACAGCCAACTGCACCTACATCCGCAGAGGAGACTCCCCCTAAACAGCAGGAGTGGAGCCCGAGTGTGTGCCAGGACGAGCCAGGACCCTCGGAGGTTAAAGCGGAGCAGGAGGAGCAGAAGGAGGAACTGTGGATTAACGGGAATGAAGAGCTGCCTTCAGCAGAGGACAGCGATGATGGGGACGCCTTGACAAAAGAACTCATCAAAACTGTGCAGCAGTTAGAGGACTGTAGAGCAGCAGAGGAGAGCAGAGAGAAAATGCAAACCCCTGCAGAGAATCCAAAGCACTCTGAAGAGAAGACAGGTACCACCTTATACCGCTGCCACATATGCAACTACATATTCACCAAAAAAACTGTACTTACATGGCACCTGAAGACGCACGAAAGCAGGTCGCATGACGGCAAGGGAAACTTTGACTGTCACATATGTGGCAAACACATACCCTGTCAGAGCAATCTGCAGAACCACATGAGAGTGCACACAGGAGAGAGACCCTACAGCTGCCATTTCTGTGGCAAATGTTTTAAACTGAAAGGACACATGACAGAACATATAAGAACTCACACAGGAGAGAAACCTTTCAGCTGTCACATCTGTGACAAATCTTTCAACAGAGGATCAACTCTGAGGAAACACGTTTTAGCCAAACATAAAGAGGAGAGACCGTACAAATGTGGGGATTGTGAGGAGTTATTCACCGAAAGGCTGCTGATGAAGAGGCACATGCGAAAAGTTCACGGCGTCAAACTGTCCACGAGTCAAAGCCCTGCCTAGAACCTTAGAACAAGCATCTCTGATAATGCACGTTGCATAAAATCTGAGAATAGGGCAAGGTATCTTTTGAAATTGTTCGATACTAGCTCCATTGAGTTTTGGTACCAACACCAGAACAATACTTCATAATCTTTTTTTTTTGTTGTATGTTTGAGATGAAGCCAAACTTCTCAAATGTTAAATGCTGTCATACATAAATAGCTTTAAGAACATTGCTTAAATAAAATGCAATCTAGAATTGGGACAATTATTATTTTGAAAGGGAATAGTTTGACATTGCTGTCCTGCCGAGAGTTAGATGAGGAGATTGATCTCACTCTCATAAGGAGCTGGAGCCAGGAAGTGATTAGTTTAGCTCAGGATAAAGACTGAGAGTAGCTGGAAACAGCTAGCCTTGTTTTGTTAAAAAAATACACCTATAGTTTTAAATATCTCTAAAGCTCACTAATTTTACCTTGTTTGTTAAATTCATTCACAAAAAAATTTAAAACTATTTCTTGTACTAACAACAGTGTCATAGCACAGTCACATCCTGGGGGCTTGTTGCGGTGTACACATATTATATATATATATATATATATATATATATATATATATATAATATATATATATATATATATATATATATATATATATATATATATATATATATATATATATATATATATATATATATATATATATATATATATATATATATATATATATATATATATATATATAAAATGTAATCACATATTATACATTAAACACAGAACCAGGCTAGCTGTTTACCCCCTATTACCAGTCTTTGTGCTAAGCCAACTGTTTCCCGGCTCTAGCTCCACACTCGACGCACAGAAATGAGTGATATTGATCTTCTCTCTGCTTTCTTACCCAAAGTAATCCTATAAATCAAAAAGTATCTAATTGAAGAATATGTAAACAGGATTATGAATATTACTGATTCCAACTTTCGGTACTTAACACCTTGTAGAGACTCGAGCACAGATCAGACAACTCAGCACATGCGACTACAGAATACTGTACGAGCAGCGGCACACTGGAGGATTTTTACTATTGCCTCTCTGAAATTGTGGACCGCTTACTAAACTCCCGATGTGCTGCACATTTAGGTTCTCTGTGTTTATAACATCTGGTGAATATTAATATGAACGACCAGAATTTTACTGCAGCATAAAAACCCCAAATTAAAACAGATAAAACAAATGTTTTATGTTCATTCAGTTTCTATCAATCCTGTCAATTCAATCTGTGCTAAATCTGTGCACCATAATAACGTACGCAACTGTGGTACATCCTCTGTCAACTAGTAATATCTATGTTGTCCCGTAAAGTTGTTTTATATATTTATATATATTGTACATACAGTTTTATTGTATTTCTTTTCCCAATGTTCCATCATATTATGAAGATGTTGTGAACTGGCTATGTGAGTATGAAGACATAAAGCTAAAAAAAACAAGCACATTCAGGTGTGAAAATGTATGGCAAACATGCATAACTGTCCTTTGTTTTGTTTATATCACATATTTTTATAGTGTAGCAGTACAGCAGTAACCACAGTTTTTTAGTAAGGATTACATTTAGACTCCAATACAAAACTGGTTAGGTTGAAGAGTCTCCTCAGCTGCAACATCTGTAGAGGTTTTTTCTAAGCAACAAGAGGTACAAAAGATGGAGAAAGTTCTTGGGTCTGGTGGAGTTGAGTGTGTTAAAGAGGTTCATTACCAAGTCCAGGTTTCTCTGAGGTCAAGTTTTAATTTGTCGCTTTCTCCCTGTCACACAAGACCTTAAAAATCTGGTGGAATATGGTGAAGAAATACTTAAGTGTGTCCCAGTTTAATAAGTTGACTTACCGCCTTGGCGTCGCTGCCAAACAGCACCAGGCCCGCCTTGGTGACGATGCCGGGTCGGCTGGCCCCAGGGATCTCCAGGGGCTGACCGTTAGGTGGGGTGCTGTTATCCACCAGAGTGGAGCCGTAGAAAGTCACTTTCTACAGGAAGAGAGACACAAAATAGCACAACGCTGAGGAAGACAACATTTAGTAACTTTGCAACACAACAGTTGTCACTGTAAAGATGGGTGTGTGTTTGTAGCCAGCAGCCACACTTTACTCTTTTTGCTCTGTCTATGTCTTCAAAAGTTAAGGATTTCTCATTTAGTAGTCAAATTAGCAACAACCTTTTTGAGTTTAACACTGAAGCTAATCTGCTTCCCCAGGACTGTGTGTTTTAATCAAATCTGATTGGCAGTGACCAATCAATTCACCAACTGTCATCACATTCTAAATCCTGATTGGTGCACATAGTTGCGTGGCATCACTTTTCCCCAACAGATTCCTGTCCAATTTAAACCAGGGAGAAGAAAATAAATGAAATTCAGACATATCACTGCACTGCTACGCGAACTAACTCATTGCTGTAGTTCACAAAGATTGCCATCACTTACACTAACTAAGTTTTCAGGGACTTTATGTTCTTCTATGAATCAGTCATAACTGTTTGTTCATAAAGGATATTAAGCTTTTGTCACACTTCCGGTGTCCACAGTCAGTGTTTAATATCAGAGCAGCTATAAAAGTGTGTTACTTGATGACATCACTAGATAATACTCTCATTTCTTAAATGCAAGTGTCAGAATTATTCAAAAATACAGTCCAGTGGCGGGACAGTGAACAAAGAATCTAGATCTATGATTGGCTGTTCTCAGCAGGGACAGGGGGTCCAGTTACCTGTCCATCAACCTCTGCCCAGGCACCAGGCACTTTGTCGTTTCCTCTGATCCAGTTGTGGAGAGCCTCCGCAGACTGGTTCCAGTCAATCTGCCGAGAGACAGAGACATATGTTGCCATTATGTCTTCAGGTGTAATATACAAAAGAAATATATAATTTTATAAATAAAAAATCTACATTTTACTTTTAAAACCATAAATCTGAATTACTCAATTACAAATTAGAGATGACTTACTTTTTTCTAAAGCACTGGATTGTCAAGTAGAGAGAAGGGAGGTGTCTGGATGTCCTTGCAAGTTACCTTAGAATTGTCTTTCTTCTGAATGCACTCATATGTGGCTCCCTCCTGTGGCTGGGTGATCCTCGGGGCCCTCCCTTCTGCAATCAGCCTTACAGCTTCAACCTGGAACCAGTACAATGCAGTTTAAATAACTGAAGCAAAACATGTGTGGTACCGTTGTGGACTTTGCCCTCACAATGTGTGTTATGTTTGGAAACTGGGGAGGAGGGCTGTCTGCAGGCAACTTAAAGCAGATACGCAGGAGGATGTTTTAGATTTGTGGATGATGTTTCCTACTGTTCCAGGCAGCTGCTGATTTACATTGATCTGGTTATTACATGGTTATTTGTATGGTTTAAATAAGCTACCAGCAATAGCTTATTTAAACCATATATTTACATTTATAGGCTATTGTGTAGGGTCTCTAGTTGGTAAATGTATGTGTTGTAATCAAGGGGTTACGAGCTATTCTCTCTATTTAGAAACAAGTCTTTAACACACACAAATACACTGAAAGCCCTGATGTCCCAGTTTTCCACCAGCATTTAAACGCAGCATGCATTTTTGTATCTGTGTGGAGCTGCACGCAAATGTAACCTGATCCATGCGTATAAGGCGATCCGTGTACACACATTTAACAATCTATAAATAAATACACAAGTGTCACAAATATTTTTAGACGTGTATACAGAGGGAGCTCTTCAAAAGCGGAAATGATTAGATCTGTAAAACCGCTTTCCATGTGTTCAAATTGCTTGCTATTTGTGTGTGGAGTGGAACATTCATTTGTGAGTGTCCAAAACTATACACAAATCTACATTTATAAATCTTATTTTTCCATTTTGTGTTTAATTTCACTCCATACATGTATGCTGGATGGTGTACAACAAACAAAACAAAATCACGTTAAAAGTTTAAGAACGGAAGCA